TGCACCACGTTGCATGCCACCACATGGGGCATGTGTGCATGTCCTGCACCGCATCTCCTGCACCTGGTTAACCACATCATAAACTTTGGAGTCTGTTTCTGGCCATCATCCGACGCTCTCTCGCTCCCTTCCTTATCACCCTCCTCCGTACCCTTTCCACTTTCGTCCTTTCCCCCTCTTCAACTCTTCGCCTGCTGCTGCTCCCTCAGTATTTTCTTGAAAAGACCGCAAAAGCCACAACTCTCTGGCACTCGCATTCGCCTTCGCACTCGCAGTTTCCCCTCAAACTTTCCCATTTTCCTTGGATGTTCCTCACAAAACTTCCTGCCGTTTGGCGTGTGAAACACTCTCACTTCGTTTATGGCGAAACTGCTGGTGGGGGATGGGGGGCTGAAGGAGGGGAACGAGATAGGTAGGTACTTGGCCATTGAGCTGCAATTAGCTGTCGCTGTCTGCTAATTACATGGTGCCCCCAAGCGGAAGACCCCTCGTCTGGTCAAGACACCACCGACAATGGGAGGAAGTCCTCTTCTCGGGGTCCTTCTATTACTCTTTGGAAAGCTCCTGCTTCCTGGTGCTCCTGATGCTCCTCAAAATGCTTCTTCCTGCTGCTGATGCTTCTTCCTGCCGCCTCTACCTGCTCTTCCTTTCTGCTCGTTCTTTTTTTGCTACACGCGCGATGCCCCGTCGTATTTTTTGCTTCACACACCGCGTCCGTCGGTCTGTCGTCCGTCGTCTCTGCTCATAATGAAATTATGAAGAAGCCAACGTGCAACAATTTCATATTGTGGCGGACACTGCAGCAGCAGCAGCAGCACTTCCCCTATAGCCACCCTCCTCCCAGCGCTGTGGAACTTGCTCCTAATTGAGTTTGGGGCCAGGACCATGCCAGGACACTGCAGCAAAGAGTCGCATTTAATTGCATTGGCTATGGAGCAGCGGCTTTTCCTGAGCAGAGCGAGGTTAAAAATGGGGAAAAACAGGTGAGAGACAACCGCGACAAGTGGCTCCTCGCTTTCGCTCCTCTCTCAGTCTCTCACTCTTTAGGGATGCCATGTGGCAGTCAATGAAGCCATAAACAAGGCGGGAAAGAGCCGTGAAGCGCCAGAGAGGAGTCTCCGGCGATAACTCAGTTCTCACACTTTCTAGCCCTCCTCACTGCGAGTCCTAGCCGCACCTTGAAATTTATGGCCAGTACCAGAAGAACAGTTAGTTGGCCACTCTTTTTTTTTGGCGTGGAACTCCCAAATGGAGAATGGCAGAGAGAGTAGTCCCGGAGTTTCGCTTTGGGGATAAAGCTTTTAAACAACATTTCAACAATTTCGCTTCCTTTAATGACTGCAGAAGGACATTAAACGCTTGTTGGTCGCATTAGGATTTCCGTGGGGCAAGATGAGGAGGAGGAGGAGGGGGAGGAGGTGAGGCAAGACTCCTCCATTAAATTGGAATGCAAGTGTTGCAACAGAGCGAAATCATCGCCCTCTAAAGAGCGCAAGTGTTGCCCCAAAGTACGAGAGGATGCAGCATGCAACGAGGAGGAGTTGAGCCAACAATGAAATTTGACTGGCGAAAAATCCCAAGGACATCACCCCTTCCGCCCAGCACTTGTTGGAGGCAGAGAATGGAGTGGTGTTGAGTGGGCGTGGCATCAGCTTTCAGTGCAAGAGAAATGGTAAGAGCTTGGGGCTTGGCCACAGAGCAGCTTCCGATTGAGGAGCCACCACCGACGCTGCTGATAATGGAGACATCTGCTGCTCGCTCCTGCTTCTTGAACTGAAAAGCGAAAGCCGAAACTGAACTTAATTTCAATGGGGATTCCGCTGCAGGGGATACTTTCGTCGGAGGATGGGATGCTTGCTTTAATGAGGAGCTTTAGGAACAGCTAAATGAGGCTGCAAATAGATTATGGAACAAGTTAAGCTAGGACTAGACTTTGCGTTGAATTTTGGGGAGAGAAGTCATAGAGAAGGTTTGGGCAGCACAACATTGTCCTTATAATTCCTGAATTTCATAATTTACCCTTATTTAAACGATACCTACGACTTCTTGAAGCTTAAAAATCTAAAATAAATAATGAAATTGGTTTCAGTTTGGTTAACAAATATGACTTATGGTGCAACTTGAGAGACTTATTCTTTAAAAATTAAAATTTTTACTTAAGGATTAAGTGATTTATTCATAGACCAAATTACTGTTTATCGAATGTTCAAAGCGGAATCGATTAATGAGAAATAAGGGCTTATGGGTTCCCGGAAACGGCGGTGAATGTGGGGGTGAAAGTAGAAAGCTAATTGGTTGTCGTTAGTCAGCATTACAGCTGAAAGCTGAAAGCAATTGTGGTTGTGGCTTCGCCCTCTTCTACTTCTGCCCTCCAAGTGGGAGACCCCTGCTGACAACCGTTATAAATGTGACTTATCTATCCTAACGGTACACCTTCAACCTTGCTACCGTCCCGTCCCCTCCCCTCTCTTTCGCTCCCTCGCACTGTTCTTTCGACTCCCACTCTACCTCTTACCTCTCTTTCGCTCTGTAACTGTACATTTATGCTCTAATTAGACCACACACTAAACACACACACACACACACACACACACACTCAGGCACATGCACAAACTTCTCTCACTCCCTCTCCCTCCTCTCCACCCATCTCTGTCGCTCATCGCGCGTTACAAATTGAGAGGCGGCCCACCTTTAATTCCATTCCCATATGTACGTATTACCTCCCACCCTTCTTCTTCTTTTTTCTTCCTTCTGCACCTGCTATACTTCCTTTCCTGCTGCTCGTCCTTTGCATTGCAACTGCCAAGTGCCTGGCACTTCAGCAACTAACGAATTAACAGAAGAGGGGAGAGAGAAAGTGAAGAGAGAGCGTGTGTGGCAGAACTGGGAGCGAGGACAGCAATGCGAGTGCGAATGCAAAGCACACAAAAAATGTTCACCGTTATTATTTCGTTTGCGCTTGTTACGTATTATAATGCCTCCCCTCCTCCACCTATGGTGATGTTGTTGCTGTTTCTTTCGTTCACTGTTCTTTTGATACCCTGGGAAGGGGCTTCAAGATGGGCGTATGATATTTTCGAGCAGAAGTCAGAAAGAAAATTATTAAACCAAACGTCTAAAGTTTTAGTAGAATTTTATTAATTATAATTTATGCTCAGTGCTATGCTTTTTCTCGTGCAGGTCAATCGGACCACTTTGTAGGGTATCTACCGCCTGCACCCCTCGAAGTTACAATTGCTTTTCGTCTCTGGCTTTTGTTGTAGCTTTCAGTTGTGTTGCTTTTGGGTTATTGTTACTTTTGTTGCTTTTCTTTATTGTTATTATTTTACGCGCATGCATAAATTCCACAAAGAGGAGTGTCGAGAAGGGAAGTGAAGCAGCGCGGGGAGTGCAGCAAAGAAAGAGCATATTGTTTGTTTGCCTTATTATTGCAGTGGAGAAGGCGGCACAGGGGGGAACGGCACCCATGTTATTGCAACAGTAAACACACAAAATACAAAGCAAAGAACAAACAAAAGACATTAATGTTGAAATTAAAGTAAAACTGCAAAGAGAGTGCAAAAATAGAGGGAGAGCAAGATGGTAAAGTTAGAGGGTCTCGAGTGGTTGTTGTTGCTGCTGCCGCCACCGCCACTGCCACTGCCACTGCCGCTGTTAGCGGCCGACAAACCGGAAATGACTCACACGGACATGCATGAACATGTTCGTATGTATGTATGTATTTGCTTACATTCTAACGGTAGTGTGGTGGTGGCTTCAAGTGCAGCAGCAAAGCTTTTGTTTCATTATTTTGGCTTTGGCTTTTGCTTTTGCTTTGTGTTTCTTTTTTTTTTTGGGCTGAAAAACGTTTAAGGGAATGCTCTGTTTTTGTGGGGGGCGGGGGAAAAGTGTGAAAAGGGAAGAATGGGCAGCAGAATGTTAAATGGAATTCCTGCCTAATGAAAACCGCTCTCTCTCCCTCTCCCTCTCTCTCTCTTTGTGAAAAGTACTCTCACTAATTGGTAAATATTTTCCCAGCCAGCAGATAAGAATTATATATGTACATATCTGTGAAACAAAATGTAGTTAATTTTTGTGGAATTTCAAATTCCAGGCAAATATCGAATCAAATATTTCAACATAATTGCCAGCAGGAGATAATTGAGTGGTAGGCAGAGTGGCAGAGTCATCGAGATTGGCATGTAGCACGTGGCATGCTGTTGGCGCGCCTATTAAAGTGCCGTTAGTTTTCAATTTTCACAGTTGGATATTTGATGCCGCTCATTAGCATTGAATGACCCTTTGGGAAGGCCTGCCTCCATTGCCATAGCAGAGCCAGATAGAGTCCTGTCCTAATTGAACCATCATCCAGCCGAAGAGGAAAGGACACCAGCTCTGAACGGAGCGGAGGCAATCAACGTGGCAAAGGGAACAAAACACTCAAACGTAGAGGATGGGGGCCCGAATGAGGGTGCGGGTAGGTTCCTTTTTATGCAGTTTCCTAGGCAAAATCTTTTGTGTGTTTCGGGGCTTCTAAAGGAGAGGCTCGACTCGTCTCGGCTCTCTGTGACTTAATTAACCTCTCGAATGGCAGGGAATGGTAATCATCGTTTCGACCAAGTGGTACTCATCCAGCCAGCGCGCTGGATTACACTCCCAACACTCATAGCCCCAAAATCCTCGGCACCACACACACTAAACAAATAGCAATAAAAGAGGGAAAAATAATCAGGTTTACGGCTTCGCCGCATCTCCTGTTTCTGCACTCCTTCCTGCTTCCTGTTTCCCGCTTGAGTGCCCTTCTGGCGTCTGTTGTGGCTTCCACCCGACAAAAGTTTCGGCACTAAACAGAAATTACGTATACGTAACGTTACGTATACGCGGCGTGTAAATCTGCAACTTGTGGAGCATAAATTCCAGCACAGGGGGGAGATAGGGCAGATTGAGGTTGCGGCTTTTCGGCCCCACTTTAAAATGCATTCGCAACTAATAAAACATTTTACTCCTGCTATTAATTGCAGACCCAAACCCCGGAACTCGAGAGCTGCGATAGCTACAAGAGCCATGATGCACCCCACCGAATCGAGGCACAGAGGATGGCTAGTCCTGGCCGTGGTCCTGGTGGCCATTACCCTGGTGGACGTGGAGGCCCAAAATTCACCCAGCTGTGGGCCCAACTTCCCACCCGCCTGCAGCTGCGGGGAGGAGCTGTACGAGAGCGAGATGCAGTACGTCGTGAACTGCACTAATGCGGGGCTACGCAACACGAGCGTCCTGGAGTTCATGCCCGACAAAGTGGAAGTGCTGATCTTCACCGGCAACCGCATTGCAGAGCTGCCGTGGAACGTGTTCGGGAGCATCAACAACTACAAGCAGCTGAAGATCGTGGACATGAGCAGCAACCACATCCGGGAGATACGCGGCAAGAGCTACCACCACGTGCCACGCGTGGAGCGCCTGATCCTTAATCACAACAACCTGAGCATATCGCGGTTCGACGACGAGGTCAATCACCACCATCCACGCGTCTTCTCGAACTTTGTCAATCTGCAAAGTCTTCACCTGACGGATGCCTTCGAGGACAACAGTTCGCCGCAGCTGAGCGAGGACCTGCACGACATATTCGTCAACAGCCAGCTGCTGAAGCTGCAGAAGCTCCATCTCGAACAGAACGAGATTACGCACTTCAAGGACCGCAACGTCTTCTGCGATCTGCCCTCCCTCAGGGATCTGCATCTGGGCGACAACCAGCTGCGCGACATAAACTTTGAGGTGCGATGCCTGAACAACCTGCGGTTCCTGGATCTCGAACGGAATCAATTTGGCTTCGTGAAGCCCAGCGACATGAGGGTCCTCAACGAGCTGGAGGATCGCTCCAATCGCACGGCTAATCTGATTGTGGACTTTAATCTGAATCCCTTCGTCTGTGACTGCCGCATTGCGCCCTTCCGCGCGTGGATCCAGTCCACACGGGTGACAGTGCGCAACAAGGACAGCCTCATGTGCTTCCACTCGGGCTCGCGGGTGGATCCGTCGCCCGCCCACATCCTGCAGCTGGATATGGGGGCATGCCAGGCGGCCATTGCTGCAGCAGCCACCATTCTGAATGCCGCCGAGGAGGAGCAGCGGAGCTATGGAGCGGAGCAGCCGCCGGCGCACATCAGCGGCCATACGGCCACGCTTATCTTCCTGCTGATCGTGCTGAGCATGATCCTGCTGGGGCTGCTGGTGGCCCTCGTCTACGTGAGTCGCGACAAGTTGAAGTACATGATCACGCCGGTGTTCGATAACGTTGCCAAGAAGGTCCAGTATACGTCAATTAAGGATGAGGACTGCCCGGAAGTGCATGTCTAGAGAGAGGACACGGACACGACGCCCATGTCATCATCACCATCATCATCCCAAAAGGAGGAGAGACAGAATCAGAACTCAGTTTCGTTTCGTTTCACTGTTTATTTTTTGTTTGCCATTCGCGTTACGCAAAGTGTGCCATACACAGCGGAAAGGGGAAACAGAAGATCGAATATCATTTGCATCCGAGTATCCCAAAACTTAAGCCTCTTGTTTTTCGTAGTACTTAAGCCAATTGTTGCATTTAACAAATGGAGATCGAAGGAGGAGGAACGTGCAAAATGCAATTGCAATTACAACTATAACACACACACACACACACACATACACAATTTCTATAGTTTTAGCGGTTTTCTAACTTAAACTTAAGTCCAAGTCTTGTTATCCCTATGATTTCCACACACTCAAAAAAGCGGGCCTGTAACAACCGATTTGAAAACCACACTTACATATATAGCAGCCTATATATGCATACATACACACATATATCGTAACAAACACTTTAGTGTTATCTGTGATTTAAGTTTAGTAGCTTTACTTTGTTAAAACTCTGCAGAACGCAACTTTTGTAATGGAAATTCAGCAAAAAATATATATACATACATATATGTATCTTCAAATGTAAAACGTTTCGCTACTCAAAAATATGTTATTAATCATTTGTCAATTACAATACTATAGCTATATGATCATTTCACACTTGATTTACCAACATTAACAAGCATTTTTTATAAATAAAACTTTTGAAAAATGAAACTGGCGATTTGTTTGAAATTTGAATTTCGATAGGCTTATCGATAGATGCTACATGTGGAACAGCTGTTCCTTGTTTTGTTTTTCTTGTTTTTCAACACTGTTTAGCCCGCCTAGAAAATAAACACAATTTAGATTTAATTTGTGAGTTTTGCGGTTTTTCTGGTTAATGTTTAAGTTGTCCATGCTGTGATTAGAGTTGAAGGCAACGTTCTGATTGTAAGAATAGTAAATGGAACACTTGGCGCGCTGATAAAAGGCACCGTGAGTGGAACCAAGCAAGCTCAAAGCTAAACCTGAATCGGAGATTGCATAAATTAAAAGCCATATCTCCAGTAAAATAGACAGCTTATCATCATTCCAAGCAACAGCTAGCAGGAGTATATATACACCGTTCTTTACACGTATATAAACCCTATACCTACATACATATTTGAGTGTGTGAGTGCTTTCAACAAATTCCATTTCGCATCGCTTATACATAGATATTCTGCGAGTCTAATCAAAATTCAGTTCCATTATGCAACGTCACTGAACAGTGCACGGCTCCAGCATTCAATTCCCCCCAACAATTGCATTTAACCAGCGATATAAAAGTGGTCCGTTCTCTCAGACAGCCACAAAGTGCGTGCTTATCAGCCACATCAAACAATTGGCCTGCCACTACGATAAGGGATCATAAAAACTAAAGAGTCACCTTTCTTACAGATGCTCCAAAACTGTCGCAACGCTTTGCAGCGAAGCCGCCTCCTCCTCACAGCCAAAAAGCTGCGTCAGCCCCAACGCCATCAACAGAGCGCCGCAGCCGCCAGCAACAACAGCAACATGGAAAAGTTTGATCTGCCCAAGCGTCTGCAAGGAAGCACGCCGAGCGTGTGGAACGAATACATCGCTTTGGCCATGCAATACAAGCCCCTTAATCTGGGACAGGGCTTTCCAGATGATGCCGCCCCAGAGTACGTAACCCAATCGCTGGCAGACATTGCTCAGGATGCGAATCCGCTGCTGCATCAGTACACCCGGGGATACGGACACGTGCGTCTGGTACAGGCCCTCTCCAAGTTGTACAGTGGTCTCGTGGGACGCGAACTTAACCCGCTGAGCGATATCCTCATCACCTCGGGAGCCTACGAGGCGCTGTACTCCACCATCATGGGTCATGTGGATGTCGGCGATGAGGTGATCATCATTGAACCCTTCTTCGACTGCTACGAGCCCATGGTGAAAATGGCTGGCGGAGTCTCACGTTTCATTCCACTGAAGCTGGTAGGTTTTCCGAACAACATCAAATGACGCATATAGATCGCTCCTTCATTGCTCTTCTTTTTCAGCGCAAAACAGAGGAGGGTCCGATTAGCTCCGCGGATTGGGTGCTAGACGATGCAGAGCTCGAGGGTCTCTTCAATGCAAAAACCAAAATGATCATTCTGAACACGCCACACAATCCGATAGGAAAGGTCTTCAATCGCAGGGAACTTGAGCGCATTGCAGAACTTTGTCGCAAGTGGAACGTGCTGTGTGTTTCGGATGAGGTGTACGAGTGGCTGGTCTTCGACGGAGCGGAGCACATACGCATCTGCACGCTGCCCGGTATGTGGGATCGCACCATCACACTCGGCTCAGCGGGCAAGACCTTCTCCGTCACCGGCTGGAAAATCGGATGGGCCTACGGGCCGTCGCAGTTGATCAGAAACCTGCAGATGGTACACCAGAACTCAGTGTATACCTGCCCCACGCCCCTGCAGGAAGGTGTGGCACGCAGCTTCGAAGTGGAGCTGGCTCGCCTGGGCACACCAGAGAGCTACTTCCTCAGCCTGCCTCGCGAGCTGAAGGAGAAGCGCGATTTCATGGCCAAATTCCTGTCCGAGGCTGGGATGCGTCCAACCATTCCAGAGGGCGGCTACTTCATGCTGGCCGACTGGTCCCCTTTGGCGAGCAAAGTGGATCTGAGCTCGGAGCCGGACAAGCACCGCGACTACAAGTTCACCAAGTGGATGACGAAGAACATGGGACTGCAGGGCATCCCACCGAGTGCCTTCTACAGCGAGCCCAACAAGCCGCTGGGTGAGGACTTTGTGCGCTACTGCTTCATCAAGAAGCAGGAGAACCTGGACAAGGCAGCCGAGCTGCTCCGGAAATGGAAATAGTTGCCAATCAATAAACGAATTTAATGCAATCCAACCCCCTAAATGCCTAACCTAGGGGGTCCGATTACATAATCAAGACACAAACGAAACGCCTGCACTTGTGTTGTGGTGGTAGCCTTACTCCAATCTCCTTTTATTAGCAATCCAATAACATGTTCATCTGCACCATTCTTCGGATGTGTAGCTAGTGTCTCTGTGAGGGTATTGTGTATTGGTTCTGCGTGTTCATTAAACTATGTGGGAAAAGCAGCTCGGTCGCACTGCTTAGAGGTCGTACACCGACTTGAGGGCCAGTTCGGGTTTGTCGTAGCCCAGCTCCTCGATGGTCGGAATGCCCAGCTCCTTCAGGGTGGGGGTGATCTTCTCCAGCAAGTAGGGGTAGAGGGTGGCCTTCTGGTCACCGCACTTGTCCTTGCAGCCCTCCAGCCACCTGATGGCCAGAGCGATGTCGTTGACACGGCGAGCGCCGCGCAGACCAGCCTCGATGACCTTGGGGCTGGGCACCAGATCCATGCCCAGCAGATCGTTCATCCCCTTACGGATCTCCCAGCCGTCGATGCCCTCGCGGCTGAAGTACTTCTCGTAGCGCTTGTCGAAATCCTCAGCAGATTCCTCAGATCCGTGCAGGGCGCGGACGGCAGTGACGCGCGACGAGGTCGCGCCAATGGTGCCACGGATGGCGTTGCCAAGTTTACCGGCTGTGATGCGCAACATGGCTGTCGAAAATGCAGTTAAACAATCTTAAATTGGCAAAAAATTTGGTTAAGTAATCGGACTCACTTTTTCCTTTTTCTTGAGTGAAATTTCAGTGCTGTACAATCCCAAAACTGTCAGATACGCAGGTCGAATACGGCAACGCTATTTCAGGTCAGTATTTTACCAGTACGGCAGCGCTGTTTTCAGGCTAGACACGGTATATTTGGTATATTTCTGATGTATTTTTGGGCTCACAATTTAAACGCAAAATTGAGTCGAAGAGAGTTTTGAGTGCCCTCTTTCGACTGGGTCATGGCAAGGTATGGTCCTAGTATTAAAACGGCCAAGCTTTTTTAAGTGTAACCGTACGGAATGCAGTTGTGACCAGAGGTGTGCACTGCATTCCGTACGGTTACACTTAAAACTGGCAGCTAGGAGAATATATGACATAGGCCTGACATCGGAAACTAGTTGAACCATCGATAGTTTTGAATGTTTTGAAAAAACAATCGATACTATCGTAATAGTATCGGGATCAAATAATTATTAAAAAACCATTGAAACCTTTTAGGAACTTGTCCATTGTAAAAATTAGATGCCACCTGTCGATTTGTTTAAAAATTTGTCTTCGTAATTTAGAGCAGCCAATCTAAACATATCAAAAGCGCATCAACTGTAGCTCGATACTATCATGATAGTCGCAAATAGTCGATACTATCAATAGAGCCCTCGATGGTTTGACACCTCTACAAGGCAATAATATACGGTAAAAAAACATCGATATATCGCCAAATTGACAGCCATCGATACCATCCACATCGATGCCGACAATTATTCAGCTAAAAAAAATTTAGGCAAGGCAATAAATAAGTGCTCCGGCTTATTAAACCCACTAACTAGAAATCGAATCATCAACAGAATGTCGGCAGCAGTAGGGTAAGTGCATTATTTAGAATTAGCAGCTCTCATTTTGGCCCGGCCCTGCACTTCTTTTTGTGGCTTCTTTCTGCGACGCGTGCTTTGTTGCAGTGGCGGTGGTGGCGTCCATTTTTTGTGGATAGCTGTGATTTGCGCGGTCCAGTCTTTGGATAGTTAGTGTCCCTCTCCATATGGCCGCCCAACTAACTCGACTAGTGTGCTGCTGGTGGGCGTGTCCCATGCGCAACTGCATTGCGATATTTTTGGGGCAAAACTTGAGGCCCAGCATTTGAGGTTATGTTTGGTGGTTGGCGCTAATTCTGTGTATTTTCGGCATGGACTCCACTCCCGTGCGCGCTGCCCGGCTGTGTGGGCTATGGTATGCAAATGGATCGCAGAGCGATTAGCATATAGTTTGCACTTTGCCTTGGTTTCCAGAAAAGACGACGACGTTCGTCTGCCGCCGCCGCCGTTGCTGGGGGCCGGCATGTTGCGTTGTTATGGCACCCCGCACCGTGCAACCCCCGCTGTACTAGTGTAGTTTAGATCTGTTCATAAATATATTCAATAATCTATTTTTCCATTTGCCGCTTTAGATCAATTCCGCCTCCAGTTTCCTGGGCCCAGCGAAGCGACTTGGTCTATGTGATCATCGATGTTGAGTGCAAGGACATTGAACAGAAGTAAGTTGCTCGTCAACCTTAATCGATCCGATCCTAACCGTTCTGCTTTGCCCGCAGAGTGACAGAGAATAGCTTCACCTTCAAGGGTGTTAACGCGCTGGATGCGTCTAAGAAATACGAAGTCACGCTCAACTTCTTTGGAACGGTTGATCCCGAGAAGGTGAGCAGCAAGAACATTGGGCGTTGCTTGGAATTCACAATACCCAAGAAGGCGAGCGGACCCTTCTGGCCCAGTCTGACCACGGACAAGACGAAGCTGCACTTCCTTAAGGCCAACTTTGCCAAGTGGCGCGATGAGTCCGATGATGAGGAAGGTGAGACTCTCGACTCATTTTTTGTTGACCAACCAAAGCATTCGACTCAAAATTGTCCTCTAATACCAGCAGGTGACGCCAAAGACAATGGAATGTTTGGCAACTTCCTGAACAACTCTGGTGGTGATTGGAACAATAAATTCGACGACTTCAATGTTGACGATGAGGAGGAGGACTCCGATGACAACATCCCGAGCCTTTCCCAGAACGATGAGGAAGAGGAGGAGACCGGCGAGGGCGACAAGAAGAAGCCGGCTGCTTAGAAAGTTTGCCGGTGTCAAGCATTTTGGAGTAGTCGTAGCGTTAGCCGAGGCGCTTATACCATTAAGTCCACACAAACACACCAACACTCGCACTCTCTCTCCTACACACACCCACTCACACACAACACACAAAAAAAAACCAACCAACAGCATCCATATAAAAACATCCGCATACGCATGCGTACATACACTATTCCAAAAAGAAACCCATTTAACTTAACTGAATATTGGCTGCGTATTCAGGTGAGGCGAGAGATGTTAACAACAAAAAGTAAGACGGAACAAGAAACGAAACATTGGGCGCCGACAAGAAAACCATAAGTTTTACGCTAGAATTTAACAACAACCAGAGGAAAGCTACAACCAATTCATTGCAAAAAATGTGTTTGCAGTTTATTATTTTTTGTTTCCTGTAAATAAAGGAAATTACAATAAATAAAACAAAAACGTAAACAATTATTTCCTTCCCCCCTTGCCGTCAATATGCTATCGATGTATGTATGTATCGATATCTTCCTGTTGCTGTGCCAACGCGGGCACGCTTTGAACAAAACAGGAGCAAAGTAGGAAACGAGATTTCATTCGAAAACAGTGATATTGTCGTTTTTTGTGAGCTACGATACAAAATAGCTTCGTCCCAATAATGATGACCGGCGCTGCACCCCCGACTGAGCGGCGACTGGCATTTGTTGCGGAATGGTACCAGGCCGAGGCTGCCATCATACGTACCTTCCTGATCACATACTTTGTGGCCGACAAGGCAGTGGAAGTGGTAAGTCGGGAATGATACATGTACCGTCTACAATTTGGATGATAATCTCTGGGTACGGAACTCCTTCAGTTTGATCAACGCAGCAAGAAGACCTTCCTGCGTCGCACCAAGATTCCGGAGCTGACGCAGCGCGACTTCTTTGTGGGCTCCAAGATCAATGTTTTCGGCAGGCAGTTCGACATTGTTGACTACGCCGACGAGTCGACGCGCACCAATTTGGCCAAATATCGCAAAAGGTAAGGAGTGCTTCTTTCCTATGCAGAAGCCCATTCTCCTGCATACTATATATATAGTCCATTTATTCCACAGAGGGTTCGTGCTACTCAAGAACAACATGTGGCACAAGCATCTGGGCAAGTTCCTGAAGACACTGATCCAGAACAAGATTAACATCAACAACGGACAGATGGTCCAGTTCACACCCAAAATGGTGACACAGTTTCTCTCCGGGAAGCCCAAGAATGAAGTTGTATCCTCGTGAGTATTAAAAAAAAGTTTTTGTGGGGCACATTTAAATCACACGCCTGCCACGCTCTGCCAGCGTCCTGATGAACGAACTGTTGGCCGGGCCGGCCATCAGCCTGGAGCTGATCGGCGACAACGTGGTGGAGATAATGACCGCTTGTATCAAGTACAAGGGTGGGGACAGTGGCTCCTCCTCCATGAAGCTGTCGTCCAGCCTGGAGCAGCTGTTCGAACAGGAGGATGTGCGCTACGGCATCTACTGTCCCGAGACCGAGGAGGATGTGGCCATAGACCTGAAGTTCTTCTTCGAAGAGCGACACTGCATCATGAAGGAGTGTCTATTTAAGGGCACAACGCTGGCCATCATCAAACCGCACAGCATAAAGGACGGACTTTTGGGCGAAATCGTTGACGACATTCTGGCCAACGGCTTCAATGTGACGGCCATGCGCATGATTCTCATGGCGCGCATCAACTGCGAGGAGTTTTACGAGGTCTATCGCGGCATCCTGCCCGAGTACATACCAATGGTGGCGCAGCTGGCCAGCGGCGTGTGCATGTGCCTTGAGATTGCCTCTGCCGATTCGGGAAAGAGCAGCCACGGCGACTTCCGTACCTTCTGTGGACCCATGGACCCGGAAATCGCCAAGCTGCTGCGTCCCCACACACTGCGCGCAAAGTTCGGCAAGTCCAAGGTGCTCAATGCCATCCACTGCACTGATCTGCCGGACGATTCCAATCTGGAGCTGCAGTACATGTTCAAGATCCTCGACTGATCACTCGACTCCCTAGTTTAGTTAATTAGTTTATATTTATTTTCAGTTAGTGCGTGTGTGTGGGTCCAAATAAATTACAAGTGCAATTGCAATTGCGATACTACCCGTCTGAGTCTAGGGCCTAGATGCTGCCGCTGCGGCTGGTGCTGGGAACATCCAGATCGTCGAAGTCCCCGTCCAAGCAGTCCCTTAAATAAGTACCGGCCTTACGCTCCTGCAGCGTGTAGTCGTATGCCAGCAGTGCAAAGATTACGATGCACACCAGCATGACCACCGCATAGAAAAAGTACTCGGCCATCTGGGAGCTCAACAAACTCAGCTCGGTGACCACAACCACAATGAGGTTGCCGAAGGCATTGTTCAGGAACCACGTGGCCGTCACCACGGACTTCATAGACGTGGGCGCCTGCGTGAAGGCGAACTGTAGCCCCGGTATGGACAGCAGCAGTTCGCCCAGCATCAGCAGGAAGAACTGCGGCAGCTGCCAGGCAATGTTGATCGTCTGGATGGGTGAATTCTACACGTAAATGTACAAGTGAGAGAGTGAGTATTGCAGAGGAAGACAAAGTCTTTGCCATTCGTGGTCTAACCATAATCACTTGCTGCAGGGCTCCTGCACAGAAGAAGGAACCAGCGGAGCAGATGCCACCCACAGTGACGCTGGTCAGGGGCTTAAGCTCCCAGTTAAAGAAGCGACGCAGCAATGGGACTGTCACGTATTGCCACAGCGGGATGAGCATGAAGAGGAAGATTGGACCCACAGCCTTGGCCTGATCCGGCTGTATGGTTACCCCCAGCACTGTGGTGTTCATCATGACCGCCTGGAAGGTCCAGCTGGAGTCCTGTTGGGCCAGCAGAGCGAAGTAAAATGGCAGTGGAATAAACAGTTTTGTGATCTGAATAAAAAAGGGAGAAAAGGCTTCAAGTAAAAGAGAATCCGGCCATTGATCTCTACTTACCCTTAGGACCTTGGAGACGTCGTTGACAAAGCCTTCGTCGTAGACACCAACGGCATTGTGCAGCCAATAGCTGGAACGCTTGCTGGACTTGCGACGTCGCCACTTCTCTACCAGTGCCGTCTTGATGCAGCCGCAGAACTTGAAGAGTATATTTTCATCGGCTAGCTTCTCGGTCTTGTAGAAACATTTTCCGATCAGAAAGATAACTGGAAAGAGTGGAAAACCATTACCCCCAGGAGCTGATGAATGCCAATCGATGATCACTTACGCCAAGCCATCATAAAGGCGCTTCCGAGAGTGCCGAAGACGGCAGGATAGCACTCCGCCTTGTCAAAGCATTTCGTATTGGCCCGCACCAGAGGGGGCAGAATCTTGCTCAGAAAGATGCCAAAATAATAGACGAAATAATAAAAGGAGAAATACTCTGAGAGGTGGACAGCCTGCTCGGGCATCTTGAACTGCAGGGCGCCCAGCGACGTGATGCAGGCGCGGATTGAGCCGTTTCCCACTGCCAGGAACAGTAGGGCAATCGACACTAGTAGGCTACAAATTGGCAATGCAATAAGCAATAGCTTTTACTCAGATCAAAGCTCGTACTCACGAAATTGGTACTCCCACATGGGGCAGCGACGTCATGGTCAGCAGCAGCCATCCAAAGGCGTAGGGGAAGCAGAAAGCGGAAATGGTGCGCACATTTCCCATATAACTGTCTGCCAGAGCGGCCCCGAGAATGGGGCAAAACTGGCCGAAGAAGTTGAATATGTGCAGCACCACCGTGGAAAAGCTCTCCGTAAAGTTGAGATCATCGCGCAGATAGAGGGCGAGTATGGCTGGAATTTAACAATAATCGGATTCTTGATGAGACGCACTGCAATCTCATTCAATATATTCAGATTGATTTATTTATGGACCATGAAATGAAGGTCACCACCAGACCACAGGCCTGGAAAATTGCTGTGATGCAGCACCAAATTTTCCCATCCCTTTGCTGGTGGAAAAATTCCCAGAAAAATGAGGGAAGAGAACAGATCTTCAAGGGCTCCGCTGACGAGGCGAATCTGTGTCTTATCAATGCATTTTATAATGCATCGCTGTCTATCTCCGATTGTCAACAAGACCTCCCTGTGTGTATGTTCGCATCTGGCACTGATAAGTCCGGCTTTGGGCATTTTTCGACAAGACAATGCAAGGTGATTGTGATGATGCGCGGCTGCTGGTATGGTATTACATTACGTTACTCACTGCGTATGCCGTTCGCAGCAAAGGCCTCGAAAAACTTGGTGGCGAGAATAAAGTACACAGCGCGCGGATACCTGTACACCATGCGAATGGGCGGGGGAGCAAAGCCATAGTTGGGCAGAGAGCTGCGCTGGCGCGGGTTCAGCTGGGTCCGCTCACTGGCCTGGCCCCAGGCGCTCCACTCGATGTCCCGTCCATCCGGATCATAGCTAGCCTGCGTGAGCTCCGCAAGGACTGGGAGGGCTACAAAGATCAACACGAAGAGAAGAGAGTGGAGATTGTCGAGATTTGGCCTTATCTTATCACCATAAGCCATCAACTCACTTTCTTCGCTGCCGATTTCCGTTGGACGAAACATTTTCCACAGCCGCGCGCCTAATCCGACGTGAGTGAACTGACGTGAAGATGGAGGAGCAGTTGAGACACAGAGAGCAATATTCGAGCAAGTTACTGGCTTGTTTGCTTTTCTTGCTGCGGATCAAGTTACAGACTTGCGGCTTTTGTGGGTATGCCCTGCCACAATGAGCTGTATTGTAAATGTTGAATCAGTGCCGCGCTGTGACTGACGACCGCTGATGAGCGCGGTCCAAGAGCTACTAGCATCTCACTTTGTACTACTACTACTACTACTACTAGCAAGAACAAACATTGCGATAAAGGCCAGCCAGTCAACACAGTTACAATGCTACAGGTTATCTCCAGGCAACGACTACAGCTGATAAGTCCAAGTCGCGCTCAGTCAGGCGTCAGCAAGTCACGGGACCAGGCTCAGCTGACTACTGTCTGACCGACAGGCACAGAAAGCGATAGGATGTCGTAGAGTCGGTGGTGTCTGGTTTTTTTTTGTACAATGGATTTTTATTAAATTACGCACAAGAAATTAAAACTAGACGTGCTTGGAGTCGAGGGCCTTGTGGTTGGTTGATGATGGTCGATCCACCGATGAAATTCGCAAAAATATTGTCGCACCAAATGAGCCAAAAGTAGGAGAAACACACACGGAACTTGGAGGGGCCGAAGCTGACGGTGTTCTCACACCAGCTTCTTCGCCTCAAAGAAACTCTTCAGGTGGCGCATTTGCCAGAAGCCCATGCACACGAGGACAACGGTCTGGGCCAGGGACCACCAGAGGACTCGGGAGTTAGTGCTCTCGCTCGTGTGACGGAAGCGCTCCTCGCGATAGCGCTGGTAGTTCTGCTCCTTGGTGATCTGCTCCACCTGATCCAGCAGCTGGCGAATACGCAGCTGCAGCTCCGTCAGCTTTTCCTTCTGGGCCACATTGGCATAGTCGATGGCATGCTCTCCCACCTGGATGTCCAGGTGAACGCGCAGCTGGGCACCGCTGAACCAGGCAGTGCTGTTCGAGTACATGCAGATGACGTGCTCGCCGGGCGTGTGTGACGTGAACGAGATGCGGCCCTGGGAGCTGTACACACGGGAGAGGATAATTTTGTCGTCGCTGTCACGCACCTCCACATGCATGCCGATGCCCGGTGATGAGGGCATAAAGCCATTGGAGCGTGGATCGTAGAGCTCCACCTTGTAGTTGACTGGGGACAGAGGAAGGCGTGTTTAGAGACTGCGTTGGCATTTGATACCAGACCGTGCCCGCTTGCTTACCTATCACAGTGGTTTCGTCGGGAACCTCCTCGATAAAGCACTTTCGCTCCGTCTCCGATATGTGGAAGTAGAGGCCGCAGGCACTGTGAAGGGCGCACAGCAGCAGGGCCAGGCAAATGAACTGATCTCGCATTTTGGCTAATTTGTTATAACTTTTTCCACTAAATGTATAAGTTAGCTCGCCGACACGTCATGAGAAAAAGTGCCAGATCGAAGTTAAAGTGTTTGGCATAGAGATGGCAGCGTGACAGAATTCTCATTGCCTTCAGTGTTGCCAACTCTTCGGGCATACAAAAGTTTAACTAGTTACATATTTGGAAAATCTATAAATAGCCAGAAAATTTGTATGGTATTTATATTTTTATTGATTTAATCAAGTATTTTTAATAACTTTTCAAGTCGGCAAACACGTCGTCTTCTGCAGCTGATCTTATGTAGGTCTGATTGTCTTCACTTGGCACTAGAAATTTGTTTCCGCACAACAATACCAAATAGCCATAATTCCCGCTAGCCGCTATTTTACAATTTATCCCGCATTTACTAAACGATAGAGCTAAATTGGCAGCACTGATTGCCTTCTAGCAATCCCATCCCTGACAACAATTTCTAACGGCTGGTAGCGCTGCCGCAACAGCTGGCATATCGTGTTGACGTTTACCTTTTTTTGCCAAAAAAAATCGTTCAATCTGTATTTTGGCTAGAAAATGGACCTGATTGTTCTTGTGGGCGTCGCCCTGGCCCTGCTCATCGTGATCTTGACGATATTTTTCCTGCAGAAAAAGAAAGGCGGCACAGGTAAGCCGAGAGACCTTTGGGTCCAGACATAAATTAACTTTGCTTTTGCTCTCAATAGAAACAAAGGAAGCAGCAGCGCCACCGCAACGTGGCGTCCCACTGCGAGCCCAGGAGGGTGTGCCGCGACGTGCCCAAATTGCCCGCAATCAGCGAAACAGACTGCGCCAAAATGCTCCTGCCGCAGCTGGATTGGCTGCAGCGGCTGGCCCCCAAGTAGCTGACGCTGAGGGGGATAATGACGATGAAAACCCCGATGGCGATGGCCAGCGTATTCCACAGGGTGCTGTGCTCGACGAGAAGATGGGTGCCAAGAAGCGGGCCAAGATGGAGGCCAAGGAACAGAAGCGTCTGCATCGTGAGCAGGAGCTGGTCGATCGAGAGCAGCGGAAGGTGAAGGATGCCAAGGAAGAGGCCGAGCGCAAGCAGCAGGAGGATATCCAGGAAGAGGCAGAGCGCAAAAGGGCCGAGGCTGAGCGTCTGGCCAAGGAGGAGCGCGAGCGCAAGGAGCACGAGGAGTATCTGAAAATGAAGGCTGCCTTCAGCGTCGAAGAAGAGGGCTTCGAGGAAGGGGACGCGGACGATCAGGACAATCTTTTGGCCGACTTTATACAGTACATCAAGGACAATAAGGTTGTTCTGTTGGAGGATTTGGCCGTTGCCTTTAAGCTGAAGACACAGCAGGCCATAGAGCGCATCCAGGACCTGCAGGCCAATGGCACCCTCACAGGCGTCATCGACGACCGCGGCAAGTTCATCTATGTCTCGGAAGAGGAGCTGGCGGCCGTGGCCAAGTTCATAAAGCAGCGTGGCCGCGTCTCCATAGTGGAGCTGGCTGAGAGCAGCAACAACCTGATAAACCTAACGCCCGTCTCAGCCGGTGCTGGCGAGGGCAGCTCGTGATGAGATTTGTTAGCCATTTATAAATTAAATTTATATTTAGGTGCACTGTTAATAGAAAATCGAGAACAAATGAAAACAATTCTGAGGCTGAATGAGGTCCTTCAATTACATCTGAATCGTTGATTTTTGGCAATAATCATGATGGAACACATTGAGGCGATCACTTAGTTAAATCGGTATAGCTGCGCCATTTCTCGTCCGATCTTGGCGTGACATGGCTTCTTGTGATCGGCAAATTATCATTGATAGAGTCCTTATCAAGAGTCAAGAAGCCAGTCATAGTTAAGTTTTATCCGCCGCTCTGGGCGCCATAGCCAGCAATCCATTTTCACATCAACTGTAGGTCTCTAAAGCTAGTAATCTTTAATATACTAAAAATCGAATCTTGTAACAAATTGGGGGTTCGTCTAGTTCATGTCATCGTCATCATCGTAGTCGTCCATTTCGTCGTCATCCGACTCCTCGTCGCTGGTCACATCGGGGTCGGATGCTTGGGCCTGGCACTTGAGGCACTGGCAGACGAATATGTAGTTGTCACGTAGCACCTTGAGCCGCGAGTGGCGACTGCGCTCCAGCTGGCACTCGTCCAGATAGGAAATGCAGATTTCGTCGCCCTCCTGGATGGGCGCCAGAACTTTCAGGACGACAATGTCGTTGGAGTAGGGGAACGTCGAACAGGCGTTCGGCACACAGCTGTGGTTGATCTTGCTCTGCAGTAGGTACAGACCGGAGCCCTCGTTGTTCAGGAATTCCCCAGCGACTGCCAGGAGAGAATAATACTATTAGAAGGAGTCGACTGAGTATCGAGAGCAGTTTTACATTCTCCGACTTTCGAGTAAAGTTCGTCGATGACAGTGTCCAGCGCAGTCTTGTCCACGTCCGGCAGCGGTAGGTCCGACACCTTGGTCACCCATTGTGCTAGCACGCTGGTGGCGATTCCCTGGCTGTTGGTACCCATAATACCCATGAGTGTCTTAAAGGCATCTGGTGTGGTGAACTAAAAAAAAAAGGTTCAAACGCACGTAAATATCTGGTTTATTAGTTCAATTTTTTGGTGATTCCCTCCGTTTACCATAGCAAACTCCTCGGCAGCAAAGGCCTTGCAGAAGGCGCCGTAGAGCTGGTCCATCTGCTGCTCGAAGTTTTCGCCCAGCATTTTGTGGTAGATCTTCTGCTCGCGATTCACAATCAGCGCTTGGAAGGACTGCAGCTGCTCGAGAAACTCAGGCTTCTTGCTGCTCTGCTGGTACATGGCCATCAGGCGCACGATGAGCATAATGCTGCCCGTTTCCGGAGGGTAATGCATCTTCTTCCAGGTCTCGTTTAGCACGTTGATGGGATGTGTGTCGTCCGAGCGAAAGGCGCCCATGCAGGCCACGCGGTGGTAGCGCTTCTGGGCTTCCATCAGACAGTCTTCTGAGCAGTAGCGCACCTTGCAGCGCTGGCACTGCGTGAACTGGGCCACCCAGGACGCGGTGGGATCGTGCTGGAGAAGTGGCACCTCCAGCTTCGGATCGCTAGCCAGGCGACGCACGTTCTCCAGCACAGTTTCCAGGGGGCGCATGCAGTGGTCGCAAGACGCATAGCCGTATGCCATATTCCACGAAAATTGTCTGGACACGAACGGCTCCTCTTCGAATATGATATCGCCCGGGGAATACGATTTGGTGGCCACCATGGCACGGCCCTTTCCGGGAATTTCTCGTATCTCAAAGTGGTTCATTTTGGCGAAAAAGAAAAAACAGTAAACAATTTCCAATTGCACGTGTGTTTTGTTTTGTTTGCCAGGGAAGCGTATGAAACAGCTGTTGCCTGTCTGTCGTTAGCCAGCACTAAAAAGATGTATTGGATATATAGTCCGTTAAACAGCACTGCTTGCCCGCCAAACTTGGTTCTGTTCAAATTGACATCGCAAGCTACGATTTTAGATCCAATTCGAATGAAATGAAAACACGGGATCTGACTTGTACTGTACTATTATATAATAATCAATTACATCGTTTAAAATTTAAAGACATTCTAATGTAATTTGTTGTTGGTTTTCTTGCGTATATATAAACATTTTGTTAACAGTTTGCTTTTGCTTTTGTTTTACTTTGTTTCTTGTTTTGCGGTTGTTGTTGGTTTCCCTTTAGTAATAATATATTATATCCTTAATAGCTAGTAATATTCAAATATAGTTTTCTCTTTCTTTTATCATTATTGTTGTTTTTGTTTTGTGTTGTGTGTTTGGGTTCTTTTATTTTAGTTTTGTTGTTTAAATTATAGATTAGATTTATTC